GTTTGTTACCACCTTACCCTGTACTTGCACTAGACTGGACTAAGTGAAGCTGAACATTTGTTGTCATTTGCACGGGCCTCATACAGAATTTGTCGGTCTGATTCGGCAAGGTTTGTGGATCGATACAGTGTGTAAAGTTACTTTTCACCGTAACATCAATTCCAATCTCTGTTTCACTTTTCCAGTCTTCTTACGGTGATCAACGATGTCGGAGAAAAAATTGGGGATCTCACGGTAGCCCTTTCAATAGAGCCAGTGGCAGGTAAGTTCACGTAGAGCTGTTATACGTATGCGTATGGTAAAACTTGCGATTTTGAAATAAACCTCCATTGATCTTCCATATTTTTTCTCAACTGTCGCTTCATTTCTCATTCGCTGTATGTGATCTCTTTCCTATGCCAATGCATTAGGGCAACTCTGCTTGTCTTCTGCCGTTTTTAAACACCCTGATCCAAATTTGGAACGGATGTCTTTGAATAAATTGTGCGTCGTGCTCATAGTATTAGATCCTTTTAGGAATGTTTGGATTAGCAACAACGAGAGAAAACTAAAAAAAAAAAACAATTTTTCGGTTGACGCCGTTTAGACCCTTGTGGAAGGCCTTTTTCAAGTCAATTTATTGTTAATTAAATAATTAATTGTTAACTGACTTGAAAAAGGCCCTCCAAGAAGGTCTAAACGTCATCGACCGGAAAATTGTTTTTTGTTGGTTTTCTCGTTGTGGCTAATCCAAACATTTCTATAAGGCTCTAACCCTGAGTTTTTAATCACTGTGTTAAGCTTGTACACAATTATTTCACTTTGGAGTTTGAAAGGGCCGATCACATCTCCTTCCTCTTCATAAGTTTTGATTTAGGACTACCACATTCATGCACGTTTTTCAATAGTTTTCTCAATTTTTTCATTCGACGGTCGTGCTGCGGTCGGTCTAGCATCAGCCCGGGCAAACAAAGAAAATCTGGGGGATGAGAACGCACCGGATTCCCGCATCGCCGAATCGGCCGCAAATGCAGTTCGCGGCGATTCTCCAAACAAACCGAATGGAACAACAGACAGATTACCCTTGGTCAACTCACGCGAAGAATGTGGTGCCGCGGTGTCGAAGGTGAGTGCATTCGGATTATGAAAGCAGTGGGGATTGGTCTTGCTCGATCCCTGGTCGATAAAATTGATTAATATATGGATGCCCTGTGCCTGAAGAGCCGAATGAACATTGGAATGTTGAGAGGGCAGAGTCAAATAGAGATTAGAGAATTCATGCAGACTGTGGTTGCAAGAATAATGAGTAGATGCATGAGTGCCACTGTTTGCGATGCTCAGGCAGCTCTGCTGTCTTCCGGTTCAATACCACGCCTAACCTATCGGGGCCTAATGTGATTTGCCACTCCAAGTCTCGCAGCTTTGGTTGCCGGTTTCCACTACTGAATAGCAGGTCCTCTAAACTATGGGGCTTACCCCGACTGCTGTTCATCACACTTAGGTGTGCAATAGAAAAAGTAAAAAGTCACTGACCACTGGTGGCCACGATCTCGGGTTACCCAGGGAGCCTAACGGGACCTATGTGACCCAGTCTACTGGTTAGGGTTTTTATACCCTCATGCCAAGTCCTTGTTTGACCGCCCTTGGTCTTTTTCCAACCGCTACCTGCCTCGGCAAACATCTCTCTACGTGGCAACCCATCTGGTGACATGCTTAGCACATGTCCCAACCAGCGTAATCTATGAAGGTCGACTACTTGCTCCAGTGGACCACCACGATTACCTAAAACTCTGCACCTAACGGGACCCAGTCTCCTGGCTAGGATTTTCATACCCTCGTACCAGTAGATCATAAAGATTTGATCGATGGTTAGCCAAAATCTGGAAAAAGTTCTATCTATCCTTACTATGTAATTCGAGGCCAGAGCCATCTAAATCACTGATGACCTGGGTAGATATTGAAAACCTGTGTACTAAAAACAGCATATCGTTTCACACACTTTTCACACGGACGATCTATTTTTGACTGTGTTGTTATGTTGCAAACAATAATTAATGTTCAGTATGCTAGCCTATTTGAATTTTGATGGATTGCTGATCGACAGTAGTGATCATGATCTATCGCGGAGTTGAGTCTAAGGAACAAACAGGAAGATTTGGGACCCATTTAGCGAGTTGGACAGAGCTACTTTAGAACTATAAATCGTCGTGGGGGGGGGGGGGA